TGTATGGACATACAGTACAGATGACGTAACACACAAGGACAATGAGAACACCATGCAGTCACAAAAACTTCTGCTGATGGACACAATCTCAGCAGAGCCCTGCCCACGGAGCTCACCACAGACAGATTCAGCTCCCAAGGACGACTTTCTGGAAAACAGCGAGGGAAACCAGGGCAGCATATTACAGCCTCCGAGAAAGAGCTAACACCTCTCCCCAGACACGTTATCCCTCTCTCCAACATCTCCACTTCTGTGCTTCGCAGAGAAAATGGTAAAACTGGTGTTTGCTGGAACCCAACTATCCCACTCTTGCTGCAAAAACCCAAAAGTCAACCAAAAAACGGTAGGCCCCACAACCACCAAAGCCTGTGAGCCCAGCTTGCCCTCCCCTCCTCCTGTGAGAGCTCGTCGGCCTCTGCCACAGCACCAGGGCTCACACCCTCCTCTATCTGCTCGAGGTGAACCAAAAACAACTAATACCAACTCTGTGATATGTGTCGCGTCCCTGCTGCTTAAATGTTTACAAAACAAGCAGGAACCCAGTGTGCCTAAATCTTTCTCTATTGCTGTACAATTACATGATCTAACATCTAAGGCCTTCAAAAGCTGTACAGCAAACCCATCTAATCTGGTGCCTATGACACGCCAAACTAAGATTGCTGTGGGGACAAAAAGAAAGACTATTAACTTAGCACTTTTAAACATCCGCTAAATTAAAAATATATCACTTCTAGTCAACGACTTAACCACGTACAAACTGGATTTTGTGTTGTCTTGGCTGGAAGACTGCTGCAGTGCAACAGTCCTCAATTAAACATGGCCTCCTAACTTTACTATTATGAGTGTCTGCAGAGTGGGTAAAAGATGTTTATGAATGAAAGAAAACATCATTTGGGAATTACCAATCTTTCGAAAATCTGACTAAGTCAGACTGTAGTTTAAATCAGCATATTATTATCTGAAAAATATTGCAAGAATTAGATGCTTTGTTTCCAATCAAGACTTAGAGAAACTTGTTCATGCTTTCATCACCAGCAGGGTGGATTATTGTAATGGATTCCTCACTGGCCTTCGTAAAAAGACCATAAGAGAGATGCAGCTCATTCAGAACGCTATTTGCCAGCAGAACCAGAAACTATGAACATATCACACCAGTCCTCAGGTCTTCACACTGGCTCCCAGTTACCTTTAGGATTGATTTTTTAAAGCATTATTACTGGTATATAAATCATTCAATGGGCTAGGACCTCAATACATTGCAGATATGCTCACTGAAGATCAACCTAACAGATCACTGAGATCATTAGGATCACACCAGCTAGAAATACCAAGGGTTCACTCTAAGCATGGAGAGTCTGCTTTTAGCTATTATGCCAGCCGCAGCTGGAACCAGCTTCCAGAAGAGATCACATGTGCTCCAACAGTAGTCACATTCAAATCCAGACTCAAAACACATCTGTTTAGCTATATGCATTTACTGAATGAGCACTTTTTTACTGTAAAAAGCAGCAATCTCATTGGTCGGATAGTTTTTGACGCAGCGCGTCAAACCAAAATACGAACCTGAGGCGTTTTTTTATGACGCTTTTAGGCATGGCGTTTATCACGTCGGTGTGCACACTCACATATGCACTCTTTGTTTAGTCAAGAGGCGTTAAATGACGATTAACGCCTCGTAACTAAACAAAGGGCGCCAATGTGAGTGTGCACACAGATTCGAAAACCACGTGTAAAAGCGTCATATTTTTTAAAAATGCCTTGGGTTAGTTTTTTTGGGTTGACGTGCTGCGTCAAAAACAAAAACTTGCTCACGTGTCTGGTGCTTCTGAAGTTACAGTAAAACACAACTTGGGGGCGCTCAAACACAAAACGATCTTACCGAGCACACATACTGTATGTAATGGCGAAGAAAATATAGTGCCGGAAGACGAGGAAGTTGGAAGGCATGCTATCTCTGGGCAAGATCCATTTCTGTTTTAAGCGCCATCTAATGTCAGGGAATTAATTTGCATGTTCACTCGGCTCATCAGCTGGCGAATAACGTGCACTGAAATTTGTCCCGGTGTGTACGGGTCTTTAGTGCTAGGTTTCAGCACGATTTAGCGCATGAGAAACCCCATTTCCTGTTTACCGTGCACTTTGTTGAAGTCATTGCTGTGCCACTAACTAACAAAGGTGACGCCTTGGGGTGAGAATGTGTTGCATATAACATGTGACATGCCAACGCATTCTCACCCCAAGGCGTCACCTTTGACCATGCTTCAATATTTGACGTTTTAGGCGCCCTTTAGCATCACTTACATGACGCGATCCTACGGCGTCATCTAACTGACGCTAAAGGAAAGCGTCAGTTAGAGGACGTGGTTGGGTTTAGGTGTGGGGTGGGGTGGGGGTAGGGTACACGCGATCCTAGGGCGTCATCTAACTGACGCTAGAGGGCGCCTAAAGCGTCAGATATTGAAGCATGTCCAAATGCTTCCCAAGGCGTCAGTTAGGTGACGCCTTGGGAGTGAGAATGGGCTGGACATGCAGTACAAGATTGCTTGCCCCACAGCGATGGGCATCTGTGTTGCTCAGCCCTGGAATAATGCACACCGTGATGTCTTTCGTTGGCTTAATTGGGGAGCTGATGAATTCAACAGGCCTTGAGGAGCTGGTAGGTGCATCATTTGGCGGCCTGGCATCTATAGGCTATTCAATGGAAAGACCTGACATAAGGCCATGCGAGGAGGATCAGCAGATACTGGAATTCCTGGAAAAGGCAAGACAGCACCCAACTGGCCAATTATGGGTGGATTGCTTTATCACTCCTACCTTAATAGCACGATTCTGGCGAGCAGAGAGGGAGGGTGACTGGCTGCTGCAACAACATTTCCTTGAAAAGATGCTATCCTATTTTTTTGCTGCTGGTCATCACCACTATGCTAGATGGATCACTTGGCATTTATGTGAAATGCAGCAGCTTCCTTCCATTGCAAAAGATGACCTTCTTGCCGGGAAGTCATGTGTGCCGCTATTCAGATGGTGCACCTGTAGTGAGTGCCGATATGTTTGGAGAGCAGGCATACATCAGAGCAGGGGGCATAAATGGTATTTCAACCATCCCTGAGCAGGTTGCAGTTTGGATCCAATTGGCATATGTTCACGTCACGTCCGTGGTAAGCAGAACTACTTTCAAAGCACTTTGGCTATGTCACGACTGTAAAGGAAGCCATTTACACATTATTTCCACATCTGCATATTTGACGGTTACCGGTGCAATTTACTAGAACTGTAATGTTTTCCGCCAAAATAAAAGCCCCCGAACCACTCTATAGAGGGACAGAGGGTCACTTACAACAGCTTTACAAAAAATTCTCACCCCCAAGGCCTCACCTAAGACCTAAATGCTTCAGTATCTGACACTTTAGGCACCCTTTAGCGTCAGTCATATGACGCCCTATGGATCGCGTGTAACCCTACCCCTACCCCAAACCTACCCGCGTCATCTAACTGATGACAACGTAGGATCACGTCATATAACTGACGCTACAGGGCGCCTAAAGCGTAGGATATTAAAGCATGGTCAAAAGGTGACGCCTTGGGGTGAGAATGCGTTGAAAAATCCTGTGAGAAACACTGGTATTGCTATGCCAATGCAGCGTATAGCTTTTTTTTTTTTTTTTTTTTGGATTCATCTATGGAAATAAATTAATGTCATATGTTTTTGAAACAAAAAGGCCAATTGAATTGCACTACTTGGAAAAAATAGGCATTGCATTAACAATGGTTGGATTTTAATGCATTTAATTTTAGGGCTTGCATTTTTATGGGCTGAAATTCAACATGGTTGAATATTTAAGCTGTGAATATTTCAATTCAAAACATTTCAAACACATTTTCATTATTAAACATTCAATTATCCATATTCACCTTTCATATTTCACTTCCAAAATATTCAAACTGTTTAAAAATATATAATATTCAACAGGCAATGTTCGATCCATTTTATTTCTCTTTGAAACACTGAATTTGTGGAAGCGAATTTTCAAAGCGAAATCATGGACCGAACCAACTGTCAAATGTCAACCAAACCAAAACATTGTTTTGTTTAAGATTTTTTATTTATTAAAATGCTTATAATAAAATAATGATGATGAAGAAAGTAATTAGGCTAATGAATCAACAGCCCTCAGGCTACGAATTTAGTTTAGAAATAAACTGTAAACCTGATCAGATCTAACAGACAAATTATGATTATTAGCCTAGCCTAGGCTGTTAGAAGACCCCTATACAGCAAATAATAATAATAATATATATATGTTTTTTTTTTTTTTTAAATAAAGAGGACTACAATCGCTTCCAAGTAGCCTAATTCCTCTCTCGCTCTCTCCAGTGCGCAGGTGGGGATGGGTGAATTCTCAGTTTGAAGTCTCTTCCTCATTTCAGCGGACTATATAGGCTACAGCAGCAGCGTCTGTCATCAGAGCTCAGTCCCATCATTCGGTGCAGTTTTGAGAAATCGTTCCACCTGCATGGCTTTATTCCACTCCAAGCAATGCACGTGACCAAAACAATGACCTGTTGTTATTTTTGGCACTGTTCTTTGCGCTGAACGACTAAAGACCCCATGAGCATCTTCTCAGGGAACGGACTGACTGGCGGAGCGCAGGACGGGATGGCAACACAACAGCGCGTTTAGTTGAGGGAAATGGGAAGTTTAAGCGTCCGTGGACTGCGGCTACCGAATAATAAACACGCGAGGAAAGGCTTTAATGGAAGTTTTAAAAGTAATGTTTTGCAATTATACAATATTCTTCTCTGAATGAACTGCTCTGTTTGTGGCGGACTGTTAGTTCTTTACATTAAGCAGCGCTGGTTCTTCGGGCACAATGAAATCCATCTTCTACTCTCGCTTTTTCATCCTTCTTCCGTGGATCTTGATAGTGATCATCGTGATCGACATCGATACGAAGAGATTGTCTGTTCGGAACACGGCCAGCTTCTATTTGTCTCGGCTGGGAAACGTGCAGCAGCGGCAGGTCGTCAGGACGACTCGGACCAGCAGCAGCAGCAGCAGCACCAGCAGTGGGAGTAACACCTCATCTCCCCCGGTTATTTATGCCATCACTCCCACTTACAGCCGAGTGGTACAGAAAGCTGAGCTCACCCGCTTGGCAAATACGTTCCGCCAGGTTCCTCATTTCCACTGGGTCGTGGTGGAGGACTCGAACTCCCACACGGAGCTGGTTTCGCGGTTTCTTGCCCGGTCTGGGGTGCGATACACTCATCTGAACGTGCTCACCCCGCGCAGGTTCAAGCGGACGGGGATGCCGCGAGCGACCGAGCAAAGGAACTTAGCGCTCGGCTGGCTCAGAGGACGTCGCGCGTCCAAAGATAAAGGAGTCGTTTTCTTCGCGGATGATGATAACACTTACAGCCTTGAGTTATTTGAAGAGGTAAATATCACTTCTTTCTGTCCCGTTTAGAGCCGCAGAAGGCTTGAAATGAAATCTATAATATAAGAACTAGTCTATTTGATGAGATGCGATCACAATAGAAATGTTAAATTGCAAACCGTGGCAGATCATACGTTTGGGGCTCTAAAATCCCTGTTGGCCCACACTGTTCAAAGTCATGAATACAAGCCATTCTGTGTCGAGATATGGGTGGAACAAGGGGTTTGCAAGGCAGTTGCTACCACCCCGAGTAAAGATTCTCACCCTGGTGTGAGGAGCCATAAGGGGTCATGTCTCTCTGTAGCTAGAATACTCAAATTGTGCAGGGTGAGTTAGTTTTTTTTTTTTTCTTATTAAGAAGCAAATTATACCATCTTATTCCTCCCATCAAATGAGAATTAGTATCTATAAGACCAATGTTACATGCTACAGGTTTACTGTATGCACAACTCAGAGGTCCCACTGTATTTGGCTCACTGTAAAAAAAAAAAAAGTTCAAACCTAAAAAAAATTAAAGCAGCGATTAACCTTAAAGCTGCAGTTAAAACAAATTGGTGCCATGGTCGAGTCAATTTTTGTCACTGTAGTCTACAACAAGATGTTTTTGCATTCCACAAGGTTGTTGCATATACACTTAAATGTATAGTTTAGAGAGAAATACTTATTTTTATAAAGTTGTCCGTTAACAAATAATGTCTCTGGAGATCTTGCTGTAACATCTGTCCCCATGGAGATTCATGTGGTGTGTTTATTTCTTATGAGTCTTTCTTTAAATGTGCAGTGGTTGAAATAGGCGACCCAGTATACAGTGTAGTCAGGCAGAGTGAATTAACCCAGTTTGAGTGCAAGTCACTGAGAAATGACAAAGCGTCCTGACAGCTTGGAAATTTGTCTGTTTAGCCGATTGTCTGTGGACGTTGATGGACGAAACAGATAACATGGCGAAATGATGAGAGAAGATACGGTTAATTTGTGTCTTACACACACTGTAAAAAACTATTTTCAAGATTTGTTTTCACAACATTTTTTTCTTTTGTCAAATCATCTTAAATAATTTATTTAGTTCAGATAACTTGCTATTTTGAGTTTCTGATGATTAAATCGTTCTCCTTTATTGTATTAACTCACTTTTTCCAGTTAAATCAACTTAAAATTTTAAGGCAACCAGGTTACTTAATTTTTTAAGTTAAACCAACACATTTTTTTATGTGTGAAACTGACACTTTAAAAAATATTTTTAAGATGTATTATTACAACATTTTTTCTTTTGTCAAATCAACTTAAATCATTTATTTAGTTCTGATAACTTATTATTTTGAGTTTCTGATGATTAAATCAATCTCCTTCATTGTATTAACTCACTTTTTCCAGTTCAATCAACTTAACATTTTAAGGCAACCAGGTTACTCACTGTTTTAAGTTAAACCAACAAATTTTTTTTTTACAGTGTATTAGCTCATAAGGCATTAGAAGAGTGTATGAAAATGTGATTAAGAAAATTCAAACAGCTTAGCCACCAATTACCCAAAACCTGAAAATAATTACAAATTACTATGTGAGTGTGTTGCTTTAATCGATGTCTGATGATTATCCATTTCATTTATTTGTCTGGGATATAAAGTGGGCAGAGGTTTCCTCCACTGCATTACACTCAGTTCTATCTACAGTAACACAAAATATTATTTTCTCTCTTGGCTATTATCCAAACCCAGCACTTATAGCTCGTCGTCTCATTTATCATCAATTATTCTACCAGTCTTTTACCTCTGCTTTTTCCTCCTCTTTTAGCCGTTCTCTTTTCCTTTGCCACAGGCCTTGCTGCCCTCCTTATTTCTTCAATGCTTGCTTTGTGCATCCCTCCCTCCCTCTGCCTCTTTCTCTCTCTCTCTCCATTTCTCCAGAACACAGCTGGACATGTGGATGAACACATGGAACAGCCCCTGAGGGGTAGAGCGCAATGTCAGTATGCTGATGACCCCTGCTCTGCTCAACACAAACACATTACACAGCACAACAATGAGAGTCATTTGGCCATTTTCAACAGCTAGTGCTTCATAATGACAAATATTAACGACACCAAGGAAATGTATTCATTTAGCACATTCAGTTCGAGTGATTCATCCTAAGGTGACAGTAATGTAAAAGAACTGCAATGCAAAGTCTCAAAATTGGCTAGAAAAGTATAGAGATGTGACCGAGAAACAGTGAAACAATGTACAGTTTTTTTTAAATAAAGGTTTAGTAGGGAGTCTATAGGGACAATATTACTGTGTGCTGATGGTCATTGGTCAAGTGCTTGTGGAAAAAAATGTGTTCAGCTGCTTGAGTGGAGTGTAGAAGATCATTTTGTGTTAAAATAGCTTTATCATCAAACATGCAAATTATTATTATTTTTGGTTATAATAATAATAATAATATGAGAAGATGAAAAGCAATTTGTCCAAAATAAAAAAAATGGAGCGTGATACAGTATATTCGATCACGAACCAGCCAATCAGAACTGCTCTCTCTGTTTGTGTGGCTCTCATATTCACAGAGTGTTAAAAATAAGAACAAATAGCTTACATTATCTATGTGTAGCCAGACCTGTATGCCTTTCCTTTTGAAATGTGAGATCCAATCTTTCCTCATTCATGTTTAATATAGTACATGAAGAAAAAATAAAGTCATACAGGATTGGAACAACATTAGAGTTTGTAAATGATGATAGAATTTTCTTTTTTGCGTGGACTAAACCAATGAGATTTCAGTGTGCAGCACTTCTGAAAAACTACAACGAAACAAAATGTAACATTGCTCGTTGTGGTCAGATAGGATAAAAAATGCTTTATCACCATAATGCTCTAATTTTAATTAAAAAAATTATTTTAAGTTTACAAATTAAAAATGTAAAAACAAGATGCATTTACTCGAAAAGCCATATTTCTGTTTAATTTTCACTTGTTTGGACTTTGTCAGTGCAGTAAAACAAATATTAATACAAAAATGCACTTTTACTGCTAGAGCTGCTTCTCTTAAGGATTTTCAGACATTGTTACTGGAAAGCATGTCCACAAAGTCTGTGTATATGCTGCTACTCTGCCTTAAGGCTTCAGTGCCACGACAAATTCTGAATTAGATTTATTGTTCTCAGTTGTAACCTGTCTTTCCCTAGAAATACAGTTCCTTATTAGATCCGATTTTGTATTGTTTTTTTTTTTGCATTGTTGGAATCCTCTCTGGAACTGTCAGGCAGCATGTAGAGTTTTGTTATTGAAGGTGATTTTGCCTCCCTAAAGATAAACACACTCTTCTACTACAAATTTATTTCTCTGCACTGTGTTGTCAAAATGGGGCCAGAAATTCTTATTCCCTAGTCCCTGTAGGAAAACACACGGGTCACAAGAACTGCCAAATACAGATGTCTTTCCATATAGCCGCCAGTAGCTTGAGAGCTCAACTCAAAGAACAGTGTATGTGACATTGCATTTGATAGCTGTGCCTGTTGCCCTTGTTGTCATCCTTACTGTGAAAGGATGCTTGGCACCTGCAGATGACATCCTCTTTGCTATAGAGAATTCTTTGATTTTGCCTTTGAATTGGGTTACACTTAAGAGCAACCATTATGGAGACGAAGCCTTTGAAGAGAGGAAGACATGCATTAGAAACACAGCTAAAGGGGCAGCAGTTTGGGCTTCAAAGCTTGTCCAATGCTTCGGGCCGCCAGCACAGACACGTCACCCGACTGTGTACAGCACTCACACAAATAGCACAACCATTAAATATTCAAAGACTACTCTGACAATTTGTTTGAGAAATTGCAGCAACGCTCATTCTCCCAGTGGCAAATCTAGTTTGTTTCATTGTTATTATATATGAAGGAATGAAGAAAAAAGGAGCTTCTTTCAGCTATAGGATGTTTAAAATTTCACAAGGAAGATGGTATCTTGTAGGAAATGACAGTTTTAGTGTTGCCGGGTGGTTCAATCAGATGTGATCTTGATTATTAAACTGAAGAGCAGTGTGTGCTGTCTCCAGCAAACTGCAGGTGGAAGGACTTAATTATTTATGCTGAAAATGAGCCATTTTATAATAAGCCATGCTGTTCGCGCAGTACTTTACTTGGTCCTTTAAAAAAAAAAAAAAATCAATTAAAGGGATAGTTCACTTTGAAATTATTTTTTATATGTTTTTGCTTACCTCAAGGGCATCCAAGATGTAGGTGTCTTTGTTTCCGCAGTATTTTCAATTTTGACATTTTTCGGTCAAACCGGTGTTGTCTGTCAGTCATATAATGCAGGTTTAGGGGGTCCACCTCAAGGAACATGCACAGAGAAGTCAAAAATTAAACAAGATTTAATGACTCGTGAATGTAAGTACACACTGATGGCCTAAGACACGAAACGAGCGGTTTGTGTGAGAAAACGAACAGTATTTATATAGTTTTACCTCTTGTTAACAGCCACGTCGAACTGATCTGAATCAGATGTCCAACTGAACCGAAATGAACCGTGTCCAACGTTACGCTGGAAGTGATCTCTCTCGCGCGTCTACGTCACGCATTGTTTACACAGAGATTTTGGAAGTTTTACCTTTCACTAAACATTATTTAGATACACGGGAAATCGCAATGGAAGACGATTTCGGTATATCTAAATGTTTAGAAATAAAATTTAAAAATTAATTTCAAAGTGAACTATCCCTTTAAAAGTACTCGTATGGTTATAACCACCATAGACTTGGGTGGCTATATTTTGATTACCAAAAACCAGGACACTCGGCCCAGCAGAGAGATACTCAAATGATACTCGCAGTTTACTCAAAGATGCCTTATTAATTTCAATACATTTAAATTAGGCTACAGTATTTCTCCTCTGTATGGATAGAAAAATGTTATATTACAAGACACAAATGATAGGCTTCTCCGAATCTACTCAATGTGTTTTAATTATGACAGGTTTCAAAAATAATGAATGAAATAATGATAGAAATAATGTCTCTTACTCTCTTCTATATTAGAAAATATAAATAAATCATATTTATAGAGAGATAAATATATAAATAATAAATAACTAAACGAAATACCTCCAAATTGAACAAAATTAGCTCTCACAAGCTTACTAAAACAAACTAACAAAATATATTTATATCTTTAGTTTTATCTTAACTTTGCTGTAGAGCAAAGTTTTTTGAAAACCAGGACATTTCCATCACTTTTTAAAAAACAGCCAGGGGTGTGTTTCCCGAAAGCATCGTTAGCCAACTATGGTCGCAAGTTGGTCGCAATTTCCATTGAATTCTATTGGTAACGACGGAACTTGCGACCATAGTTGGCTAACGATGCGGGAAACTCACCCCAGGACAGGATGTGAATACAGGACGTGAACAGGACTGTTGGTCACCCTACCGTAGACATCGAGCCCAAAGGCATGCTTTTACTATTCACCAAAGATGAGTGCGAATTCCACAGAAATGCTTTAGGAAAAGTGCTTCGTAGGATGTAAGTAGCTAAACATTTATTATTTGACAATACATTTTTTTGATGGAAATGTTTAACAACCGGCAGTAAGATGCAGTGATGTAAACTATTTTGCTGTTTTGAACTGAAAATATGCTATCGTTCATAACTCAAAAGCGACAAGACAAGTTGAAATTGATTACTTCACAACTACAATTAGACCTAGAACTTCTTTTTTTATTTATTTCCTTAAAGGGCATAGCTCTTTTACAAAGTCTTGATTTTTTTTGTTTTTGGGGTGTAAGTTACTATGCTTTTATGCAGTGGCGTAGGCTTGATTTTAAAATTGGTGGGGACGGGAAGTTTTGATTGAAATTATTGCTAGGGATATATCAGTGTCACTGGATATTGGTAGGGACACGTCCCCAGCGTCCCTACTAAATTCTACGCCCCTGCTTTTATGCTTGATCGTTCAAAAAAACGCATTATTTTTCACAAATTTTTCATTATTACAGCCCGAACGTGCCGTTTAGTTTCGATGAAGACCCTCCTTCCGGAATTCTAAATGTGCTGTGATTGGTTAGATGACCCAGTGTGTTGTGATTGGCACTGCCTAGCGCACGTTCAGGAAACGTCACTCTCATTACCATAACCGCAAGCTCTACTCGATGCGTCAAGTTCAAACCAATTCAGGCAGCACTGTCAAGACAACAGTCTTCTCTAACGCTGCTCAACCAGCCCTTGACCCCTTTTCTCGTATTCTGTGTGCAGGGATTATTTAAATGAGTAACATTATGACTTCACAAGATCCGTGAAAATCGGGTTGTAGTACAAACGAGTTGTTTGTTGTAGTTCTAGAAAAGTGGATTCTGTTAAATAAAATATCTCCCTTTGGAGTTGACTTTGAGCTTGTAACCTTGCAGATCTTTTCTAACGGTAGCATTATACGCTAACTAAAGGACTCCTAGTAGGACTCCTTCAAATCATTTAATCATTTATTTCCTTTTAATTAAAAAACGTTTAATTAACAAATTTAGTGAATTGTATTTGCAATATTATCATGTTTCCATTCTTCTACAGATGCGGTCAACCCGGAAAGTGTCAGTGTGGCCAGTGGGACTCGTTGGAGGCCGGAGGTACGAGCGTCCCCTGGTGAAAAATGGGAAAGTGGTCGGCTGGTACACAGGCTGGAAAGCTGACAGGCCGTTTGCAATTGACATGGCTGGTAAGACGTCACTAAGATCGACCTTCACAGGAGTAATTTTCCCCCCATAGTAAGTTATCAAAACGCCGCTAGCCATTTTTACTGATTATCATTACGACAAAACTGAATGAACCAGGAAAAAAAATGTCCCATAAATTTGAAATGACTATAATGCCTGTTTTACACCACGTGCAGAAGCAACATATTCACAAGGCTGAATCATAAATGCAAGAGTAAGCATTCAAGATGACACTGTTTATGTGTTTCTGCATTTTGTATTTCCCTTTAATAATGGCAGAACATTCTAGTATGGTTATTGGAGTGTGCAACTGAAAATTGAATTTACGCAAGGAAATCCAAATGCTAATTAATTCACACGGAACAATCTAAACCTTCAATTCATTATTTTATATTCAAAAATCTAGATTGATTGTGTCGATAAATCCCTTGATAATGTATTTTCCGCACATGGGGCTTAAACATCTTCAATGCTGAAACCTCACTGAGGCATGCCGTATTAATGGTCTGACGTTAAAATGGGCATCCTGAAAAAAATCAACAACCTATGACATAGACCAGAAAAATCCATCAGTGGAGTGCCATATTCTCTCTTACTTTTATAGATGTATATAGATGATTTTATAGATTTTATAGTTCAGAATTATAAAATAAGCAGCCATTTAAAACAACAACAACAAAAACACGTTCGACCAGTTCTCAGAAATGCCTCTATTGCATCTATTTCTGGATTTCAAATATTTATAGGCCTATAACATTATCTGGCTCGTGTGACAGGAAAGATTTTTGACAATAGATTCCTCTGGTTAATTAACAGGTTTCTGGTGACTGGTACATTCCGTCATCCAGCTGGTTTTGAATTTCAGAAATAATTTGTGCAAATCACGTAAACTTCAAGCTAAGGACAATTATCAGATTTCGTTTTTCCATCCTGCACATCTGAAAGCTTCCATTTAAGTTGCATTTATTCATTAGACAGATGCTTTTATCCAAAGTGATTTACAGAGCATTCAGAGTATACATTTTTTTTCAGTATGTCGGTTAGCAAACCCATGACTCATGGCATTGCAGGTGAACTACTGTGACCAATTAAACATCCATCAACTGACTTGATAAAAGTCATTTTTAAAGTTCAGAACCATTACTGTAAGTGTCTTAAAAGTATTGGAGAAGCAGAACCACATTACCTGGAGCATTATGTCTTCAAGTTTCACCATAAGGTCTCTCAGTTTTATTTAATGTTATTAAGATATTGAACCTCCATATCTCTGTCTATCTTCTCTGAGTTCTAAAGGATATTCTGCCCACGTAATACCATGTGATGCTGCTGATCATAACATCAGCTGTATGTGGAGCAGCTTGCCTGCTCAGATAAACAGATGGGACTTCTTTGCAGTTTGGTCGTGTTGATACTTTCCAGACTGCCCCTCACTGAAATCGTTTCAAACAGGCATATAAAATTGGCCCAAAGCAGGCAGCAAAATTTACTTCTATATAGAGAGACCATGCAGGAAGAATGCTCTAAGCTGAGGGGAAAAAAAGCCATGAAACACCAGAGAGTTTTCTGAAGAGGCTTTTCTTCTATATTATACTATAAGACTGAAAAACTGAAACAACTGGAAGAGAGAATTCTTTGAGAAAAAGTAAATTAACATTTAATCTCTCTTGTGAAATTAGCATCACCATTTGAGATGCAAGTCTCACCTCAGAATCATCCTAATTTACATCTCTTTCCCTCTTCCCCCATCCCTTCTCTCTCATGCTGAGATCACCAAAATTAACCCAAAAATCTATATGGTTTAATGTGAATAATTATCATAAAGTATTATACATGTTTGGTATCATTTGAAATGACTGTGCGACTGGTAAACATGTCTCATTCCCAAAGAAGTAAACCAAAAAGTAAAAAAGGTTTTAAGAGTTTAGAGATAACTTGCACACAGAGGAGGGGTGTGCCTTCCTGGCAAATGGCATCCTGCCCAAAAGGTGTACATAAAATATTATATATATATATATATATATATATATATATATATATATATATACACAGTATAGACATGCAAATATTTCTTAAATATAAATATTTACATGCATGTGTGTTTATTTATATACAAAAAATTATACGCAGTACACAAATGTATTATGTAAAAAAATATTTAGAAAAAAAAATAATGCATGAAAATTTGAAATGTTGTCTTAGCTACTGACAGAGATAGTAAGTTAAGTATGTTTACATAACCATTTCAAATAATATAATATATAGATACTAAAAAACACTGAACTGTACTTGCAGAGAACAGAGACTTAAAGTTCATGCTAATAGATTAAGGGTTGTCAAAACAAAACCAAAAAAACCCCCCTAAAATTTAATTAACAGAAAATGTTTACTCATTTACAATAAACAGGCTTATGAAAGCCAACCTCCGCTCCGTCTGCTGAGACCATCAGAACCTTCAAGAAAGAGCTGAAGACACACTTTTTCCACAAGCACTTAACTAAAACACAACCATAAACAAAGGCACTTGGCACAGTGTACTGCAAATATTGTTGGCTCTTCTGATAAACTGCCCGTGAGATTCCTCATTTGTAAGAAGCTTTGGATAAAAGCGTCAGCTAACTGAGCTAAGTGACAACATGTAAATTGGAATTTGACATGTCAAGCTGGTCAGGATACGCAAACAGAACAATGTTAAAAGGATCCTTGTTTGCACTTTCTGGGGAAACTCAGCTTTCAAATGGTACGCTAATAGTTTACTATGATAAAGAACGTATTGCAACAGTAAAAAAAAAAAAAAATACACTATTACAAAGCATTACTGAAAGGCAAATATAACAGATACCCTATATTTTTAGGCAGACGAAGCAACAATTCGCTCCCTATAATTGGCAAAAATCCCCTTTACTGAGGCTATATTCAGCAATTTCTCTGCATTTTTAGCAAACGTGAGCTCTCAGGCAGTGCATTAAAAAGGGTGGGGTGAGAAGATGCTGACAGGTTGGAAACATCCTAATGGAGAGATATGGCGCTCGAAGGAATGAATACAACGTCAGAGATAGCAGTGGGTAGAGTTAAAGCAATCCCTAATTCCCCAGACTCCAGCGCTTCCTCTGGATATTATGCTGGTCCTGAAACTCTAATAACAAGAGATGGTATCATCTCTTTCTCATATGATCTCTATTACTACCATTATTGCTCTCCTTCCAAAGCTCATATTTTTCTCATGTGTTCACTCACACATAATCATCATCGTTGTTGTCATCAGAGCTAATGTATTCATTGTCAGGCCCTACCTGACAGTGAGCACATCTCCCTTAACAATGCATATGTTTCCTCACATCGCTGATATAGACTAATCGGATGTTGAAAATGAGCTGTTTAAGGTTCATAAATCTGCCGGCTCCACTACACTCCTCCCTGAACAAAAGCGGAGAACAATAAGGTTATTTAGTATTCCTGCTGTACGGCGGCTTCTTCTGAGAGCAAACACAATAGCAGAGAAAAGGTCCTGAACCACCTCTCTCATTGCTTTCAAGCACTGCTCTCACCTAAAGAGGAACTCAAGTGCTTGTCTTAACATGGAAACCTTTTTAACACACAATAACAACGTTTTGCACATTAGGCGGAGAAGGGCTGAAATGATTTTGCATGACAAAGAGCTGCATCTGTCGTGTACACAGTGATTAAACCATGAGTCACGCTAGCCTTTACACAATCTGTGTCACGAGCACAATTCACAGAATTTGATTTTATAAACGTTTTATAATTATAATAAATATCATAAACTGATTAACCCTCAGGTGCTCTTCGGTCATTTCTGACCGAAAAAATTTATGTTTTGAAATGTTAAAAATCACAGCTTCATCGGAATGTTACGAAACTTGGTGACTTTTATTCCATTGGGTATGTGAACACACAAAAAAATTGAGGTCATGATCCGAGCATGCTAAGTGGTCGTAAAAAAAATAGTCACAGTTGTGCTCTTCGGTCAAAAATGACCGACCATAGGAAATGAATGGGAAATTGACAAAAACACAAAAACTTTGAGAATTTTTGTGTGTACAATCTACAAATCGGCCACGATGCAGAAAAAAAGTGCTCAGCATTGAAGGGGTGACACTCTAAAACATCAAGAGTGCAAAACAGACATACCCACACACACACACACACACACACACACACACACACACACACACACACACACACACACACACACACACACACTTTTATACACAAAAACACCAATAAATTGTGATTAAAAAATCTGTTTTGAATTTCTAAAAAAATCACTGCTTCATCAGAAAATTACGAAACTTCGTGACTTTTATGGCAACATGTATGTGAACACACAAAAAAATTGAGGTCATGATTCGAGCACTTTAAGTGGTCGTAAAAAAATGAGATACACTTCTGCTCTTCTATCAAACATGACCGACCATAGGAAATGAATGGGAAATTGACAAAAACAACAATCTTCAACTTCAAACTACAATTTGCAATCTACAAATTGGCCATGATGCAGAAAAAAGTGCTCAACAATGAAGGGGTGACACTCTAAAACATCAAGATTGTGATATTGACACTCACCCACACTCACAAACAGACGCACACACGCACAAATAAACACACACCTATATATTTGTTACGGTTCAGTGACACAAATAGACATGCTCATTAAATACTATTTTACATAAAGTGTTATAATTGAATGAATTGCATTGTTTTTTTTGTTTGTTTTTTGTACAAATTCAGAATAAAAAAAAATGTGTATAAAATTTGCTTCCTAGCATTCTCTTTCTAACACAATGTTTAGGTTTGACTGTAATCATAATGCAAAAACTAACACTTTAAATCACTATTAAATCGAAAACTTTAAATCACTAAAAATCTAAAACTTGATAAGAAATAGTCTTTGAGATTGTTTAAATATATGTTGAAATCCACCTATAACAAAAAAAAAAAAAAAGTAAACGTGTCCATGAACAGCTGGGGAATTCACATGCCTCTCCATAGAGAACTGTACATTTCATCTAGTGGTTACAACATGGTTCTACGCTTTCTCTCCATACTCTTACCAGATGGCGCTAATCTGCCTTCAAAAATTTTTTTTGGAAGGCCTAGTCTCTATTTTAACCTAAAATACTGCTAAAAAAAATAAAAATTAAAAATGTATATATAAAAAAAGTTTGTATTATTTTCAATGGCAAAAATGGACCATAAATATTGCATAAATATTAATAAGTAACATCAAATTGGTTCAAAATACAAAATTAAAAAGAAAAAATATAACTGAACAAAAATAAATTGCATTGGTTTTACTGGGATGGAGAAAGTTTCATTTTTAGGTGTCCGGTCACTTTTGACCGGGAAGATAACAAGTGTGACTCCGAAACGAAGGCTAGTGATTACACCATGATTCTACGCTTTTTCTCTATACTGTAACTAGATGGTGCTAATTTTCTTCAAAAAATATTTTTTTTCTGAAGGCCAAGACTCTATAGTATACTAAAATACTGCATTCATAATTTTTTTTTTTTAATTATGTATATTTAGAAAAATATATATACTTTTCCATGGCAAAAATAAACCATAAATATTGCATAAATATTAATAAATTCAATCAAACTGTCTCAAAATACAAAATTAAAAAGAATAAATATTATAGAACAAAAATAAATTGCATTGGTTTTACTGGGATGGAGAAAGTTTCATTTTTAGGTGTCCGGTCACTTTTGACCGGGAAGATAACAAGTGTGACTCCAAAACGAAGAGCACCTGAGGGTTAAGACAGCTTAAAAGTGGTGGACACACAATACACACTGCTAAATATTTAAGAATTACACCATTATTTTTTATTGAAGCATCTTAACCATCCAGTCATAAGTTTGGCGTCAGTAAGATAAAAAAAAAGTTTTAGAAACAGGTCTCGAGTTTGTTCTTTCCAAAAAATAACAAACTCTCATAGACTCTAAACATTTGAGCAGTAGTGTGTGTATGTATAAACTAGGAATAATGGTTGTAATAAAACAGCAGACTGATTAAATTGCATCAGTGAGTTCATGTTGTACCTTTACAAAATGTATTCCATTTTAAAAAATATGATAATGTTATGTAAATAACAAAGTTGTTAGTCACAACATAAAACTAATCTAAAAGGTTCTCTTTCTTTTGCGCATTTTACAGATTGCTCTATTAGTATGTACTTATTGTCCCTTATTAATTTTAGACCGTTTCTGAATATGATTTACATATTTAAGTACTAATGATTTCATGATTTATGCATCACATTTCCCTGGAAATTAAACAGTTCCGTAAGGCAAAATAAGTTTTAAACATCAATCCGTTTTCAGCTTTTCAACACTACAAATTTGAAGGCCATCCTAATTAAAGACCTTATAAACGGCTGGTCAAGAAGTCTTGGACTTCAGGATGTGAATGTTTAGGATGGGTTTATGCATATCTGGATGGACCCCGAAGTGCTATTGGTGCAACAGCAGAAACATGTCCAGCTCTTCAGCTCTATCAAAGCCGCGTCCCTAGTTCTCTGAACGTAGGTTCTTGCATCATTCCCCTAATACTTGTATAGGGACATCAAAAGGTAATATAGTCATTAAAAAAAAAAGATCAAAAGAAAGGAGTTGATTGGCCTTCAACTATTAATAAACCTTGACATTATGCATGTCGATCTGAGGGAGAGAAATCTTGTAACTACACAAGGACACAGTTAGCCAAGGCTTAGATGAGCAATGCTGTCGTGAGCTCGCCTCTGTGGATTAAAACCCAGGTGGTTTTAGCTGGAACGCAGGCGTCCTAGAAAACAGCCCGTGTCCATGCAGGATAAAAAGCCCACAACAGAGGGTGATATTCCCTATAGTAAAATTTGAAAAGTCCTTCTCCTGTTTTGGGGCTGAGACAGTGTCATAGAGAGAAATGGAAACAAGCGGGTGAAAAACGTATCCTGACCCACATGCATCTTGACAGTGGGACCCTGCTCCCATGTGAAATGCATGAGGTCAAGAGAGAGCTGAAGAGCTGTGCATTTGAGTATATAAATAATACACAGTGAATGAGAGAGAGTGTTTGAATATATGGTGAGATTATTTGCGATTAACAATTTCGGGCTTTTTATACTAAGCTTTTTGATGAGCTTCAATGAGCATCAAACACAGACTTTCTCACTTACAAACAAAGAGAAAGATATCCGATAGTATTCCCATTCATCTCAATGGCAGTTGCTCAATTTTATGTAATTTGCCAACACTGGTTAAGGGTACTCAATTGTACAGCCAAGTTTAAGCCAATCACCCGAGCCGCGTGCGACTAATCACTCTGAAGGCACAAGGAGGCACTGGTCACACCACCATTTTCCGAACCCTTCTCAGTAATGGCTATCACGAGCTGTTACGTCAAAAGCAGCAGAGAGGAGACATAAAATAAAATACATTTTAATTTAAAATGTTTGATTGCTATTTTTACTTTGTTAACGTCAGGGTTTGCAGTGAACCTGCAGGTGATCCTGTCAAACCCACGTGCCCTGTTCAAGAGGAGAGGAGCCAAACCAGGGATGCAAGAATCAGATTTCCTCAAACAGATCACCAAGGTGGAGGACTTGGAGCCAAAGGCCCAGAACTGTACCCAAGTGAGTAGAACAGCTTGCATCTTTGATTATCATACTAAAAAGGTATTCCAGGTATCTCTTTAAATCGGAGACTCATTATTTTGGGCAATATGACTCACCACTACTTTTTTTTTTTTTGTATTCCTTTGAAACCATGCCGGTCTATTCTTCAACCAGTGACAATAGTGAATAGCTACTGTATGTCAAGTAGCGCTGAAAATGAAAAAAAAAAAAAAAAACCTTCATATGTATTTGTCTGATTCTTAAAGCTCCTTCGTTCGTTCGTGGCCCATTATCTCAGGAGCTGAAATCTCAAGCTTCAGTCGACTCACCTTACATGTCAAAATGCTCTCTTCCTCCCTGTACCACGCGTCACTGCTACTGCCATCATCATTATCACCCAATTACCCTAATGGTAGCCGGCCTGGGTTATTAATAGTGACTATTAGCAGGGCTGACAATTCCACTAATCACCAACACCAGCAAGAGCAGAACACATTTCCAACATCAGCCAATCAGTTATGCGTCACTTTTTCCAGACGCAGCATAATGTCTGCATTGTAAACACTGCGGAGAGCGCAGGTTTATTCTTGCGTGTAGATATCGCACCCGTAAACTGGACGGAGAGGCCACTGACAGTTACAAAGAAGTGCGAGCGAGGTGCTATTTGGAAAACGTAGGAGTTTAATATACTTAAATTTGTGGCTGTATTCCAATGATATGAGAACGACATTATGGAAGTAAACAAACGAAAGTGCGTGTGCCAGCAGTTGTGGGTCCTCGTGATGGGTCTGAGCGGGCGTCTGTCCAAGTTGAGCACTGCCAGCAATGTCTTTTTGAAAGGTCACATTTGTAGGAGTGTTCTTTTGAGTCCCCAACGGATGACTGTGACTAAGCCTGCGGGCAGGGCAATATGGCTAACTCCCAGCATGCACTTCAAAATTAAAGGCAGGGAGGCTGGGGAGGATTGAGGGGGGGTCATCTTATGCGAGTAATCGGACTGAACTGATGTGACAAGGAGGAAAAGGACAGAGGAATAAGAAGAGGGAAAGGGAAACGGTTTAAGAGAGACTGCACACATGCTATATAGATAGAGGGATAAAGAGGGTGTGAGAGACATTCACAGGCTTATTTACAGAAGTCAGTACATACACTAGACTCTCCTGTTTATTAATGTCAGTCTCAATCATGCTCCTGCCAGACTGCTGTCAGTGTGCCAGCTTGCTTTACTCTGAACAGGATGAGTATCTGATGCCTTCAATTGTGTTGTGGGCAGATTCAATAGAAATACTTCTTCAACAAAAGTATTGTTTGAGAAAATGGTTTGTACCATGGACTGCCCAAATAGAAGCAACAGACATTTTTCCTACAATGGACTTTAGAGTAATGCACCTTCATCAGCTGAACAAATGAGCTAGAATGCTTTCATTGTGTAACAGTTCGTTCCGATGTTGGGCAAGAGTCTATCCCTTTTGAACAATTATAGCAAATTACTTTTTTAAACTAGCTATTAGAACAGACTAAGGTTCTATACATTGTTAAATGGCATGCAACAGATAACAGAACTAAGAATGAATGATGCATTCAGAGCATTCCTTAAAGTCGGCATGAAATTAAATATGACAAATCTTCTTTTTATATGTAATATTGTAGTGTTTGTTATACATGATTTATCTGTGCACTTCATTATTTTTTAAAAATTCATGGACCCTTATAATCTTTAATCAAATACATTACCCTGCCCTCGCCCATCGAAACGACCTCGATTCTATTTCGGTTACGTGGAATGGCGAAAAGATACAATGCGGCTATCGGCAGAGAATCGCATTGAAATCTGCCTCCATTTTGTTTGCAACGCCCAACCTCCAACGATCCAATCAATTCCCGAAGGACGAAAATCAAGCCCTGCCCTACATTTTATTCTAATTTCAGAAGCCGTTTCACTCGGATATACATCACGACAATGAAAAAAATGACAATCTCAACTTCCGTTTCCGTTTCACTTTAACCTTATGTTAATTTTTTCCATATACAAAAACATTTTTATCATTGCAAATTGTATTTTTATAGAATAGTATAAAATTATCTCATTTATTGTTAGTTCATGCAAATCTGTTTTAAAGTTTGGGGTCAGTTGTGTTTTTGGAATGAAGCCTCTTATGCTTAAGAAGGCTGCATTCATTTGATTAAAATTACAGTAAAACATCAATATTGTGTAAAATTATTACAAATTAAAATATTGTATATTTTAAAATGTTATTTATTCCTGTGATGGCAAAGATGAATGTTCATCTGCCGTTTCTCCAGGCTTCAGTGCCACATGATGCTTTAAAAATGCTGATTTGGTGCTCAAGAAATATTTATTATTATCAGTGTTGAAAACTGCTTAATATTTTAGTGGAAATCTTTTTTTTTTTTTTTTTTTTACAGGATTCTTTGATGAACAAAGTTCAAAGGAATATCATTGTTATTGAAATCTTTTGTAACAATATAAATGTCTTTACTGTCACGTTTGATCAGTTAAATGGGTGAATAAAATGCTCTTCTTTTTAAAAATAAAATAAAATCTGAACTAAATCACTTTTGAACATGAGTGTATGGAATGTCAAACTCAGTTCCTGGAGGGCTTCAGCCCTGCAGAGTTAAGTTTCAACCCTAATTAAACACTAGGCTTATTTTAAAACTGCAGGTGTGTGTGTTGAAGCAGTGTTGGAACTAAACACTGCTAACATCCCCTTATTATTAAAAATTGTATTCAAAAATGTATTTAAATTTCAATAACCCTTTCTTGAAACCCATTTAGATGTACTAGAGCCCATGACTGCTGGCTTCACACCTCTGCACTGCTGTTATATCACTGCTTTCAACCTTTGTGCACCGAGTTGTAGCTATTACATTATCAACATAAAAATTTGAAGGATTTACATATGAAAGCGGAAGCGCACAAGTTTAATTCTTCATGTATTATTACATTACTCTTAAAAAAAAAAAATAGATGTTTGACAGCTGCACACATGAAGTTTAACCACCCACAAAACCAATAATGATCCGCTTCAGAAAGTTCCAGATTTAAACTAAAAACTTTTATCTATTTAAATAAAGCTCAGTCCTACAACTTACTTTGCCCTGATAATATTTATTAAGGCAACACCACCGGGATTAGTAGATGGCAAAGTAGACGCCTACATAAGGAGCAGTTTACAGAATCTACCAGAGGGATGCAACTTGTTATCAGGCCAACTACTACAGCATGCTTTGAGTTACTTATGGGTTGCTGCTCCAATGTGCAGACTATATTTATCTCTTGTGGTTTTGCTAAATTAGCCTTGTTATGGAAAACAAGCCAATTTGTAATAACATGTGTTGTGGAACAGTCACACCTGGGTGCGGTCAATCCGAGAGATCCTGTTCCAGCACCCTTCAGGCACCAAAAACATGTCAGCTGAGAGATCACATGCACTGTGTGGGGAATAGGGAAATATGCTTGTCACTCACATTTAAATGACATTTCAAATCAGCAATGAAATCTGACATTAACTCACATTGTTGTTTCTTAGGCCCACCATATTGCGAATTGCATTTTTTCCCATCCTAGAAGTATGAGTAAACCATCTTAATATATATAGAATCTTTGTTTTGTCACGCATTTGATTCGCAAATTCTGAAATAACTGATTCCAACTGGTTTCTTTCAGGTCCTGGTCTGGCATACCCGGACAGAGAAGGTCAACCTGGGAAATGAAACAAAGCGGCAACAGGATTCGATTTTTATAGAGGTCTAGAGACACTGCACTAGGACTGTCATGACACTGGATGGAGGCTCGCCATTGCTGGCACTTTGCCGCCTTTGAACTTAAGGATACCTGCTCTGGCGGAAAAGACAAGCCAAGCCATCTCGGGTTTCTGGATTCTCTACTGACACACTGTCTCTATCTGCTGGAGCTTCACACTGTGGCGTCACACTGGATTACCTGTAACGTGGTGGAGAAGAAACCATGGATAAGGGGTTTTCACAATGGCAAAACCCTGATCACTTTCCCTTTCAGGGTTTCTGCAGGTTTCACAAAGTCAAATCTAAGACCTTTTTAAGACCATTATGAATGACATTTAAACAAACAAAACAAAAACAGTACAAACTAAACAGAGTCTCAAAATTATTCGCAAAGTCATTTAATTTATTCAAATTGAACATTCGTCGAAAATCTGCACGAACGGTTCAGTGATTTTGGAAATTAGTTCTGTTTCTGTTTGTATAAAATCCCCCATTTCAAAGCGCGTAATGTTGGCCATTTTATCTTTCCCGCACCTGAAGGATTTAACGATGTTTCAGTCCGAAAACATTGTTTGAAACAATTTAGAACTGGTGTTGTCACTGTGTGGAGAACCCAGAGCACCTCTGCTTTTAGCGTTGGCTCTGATCAATAGCAACACGGAGATTGATTCTGGGATTTGCGGAGCTAGTTGGGCCCCGCCTAGGCAGTGTAGAAGTACCGTTAGTGCTGGAGCCCCCTGATACTTGCAAGAACTGACTGATGGCTGTCGTTTGCTGGAGACCCTTCACAGCACTTAGATGTTCATCACTTTTTGCATGTGACTCCAGCACCCAACGTTTTTGCATAAGAAACAGTAGGCTTTAAATACGTTGTTTGCAACTGGCTTTAATCAAGCACGAAATTCAGATTTTTCAAGCCAAGTATCACTAAACGTCCACTTCCCCATAGCTGAATAAAATCCGTTTTATGTCTGTCTGTGGTATCTGAGATACGCGCCAATAACACGAAAGCTCAAAGCTGATTGGCTGTTGCATGTTGGTCTATTTTGTAGTCATACAGGGAGTTATATTTGAACTAGCAAAATAAATAACTACAACCATGGAATAAAAAAAAAAATGACCTAGAACACAATACGTGTTGTGATTGTGAAATTTTAGACTTTTTTTGACTTTTTAAGACCCCGCGGAAACCCTGCCTTTTCCTCGGACTCTGAAAGCTCTGAGAATCAGCTCAACGTCTGTGAATGCGGAGGACAAGGACCAGCTGCTTGAATAATGTACAGAGGTTGGGTGGTGCTGAAAATCTACTGTCCATGAAAATAAAAGGAATAGTCGATAAAAACACACGCCGCAAATACAGTCAAAAGCGTGAGACACCAGGGACAGAACTTTTGGATTACAACTGTCTTTATTCCAAACGACCTTCTTTAAAAGCAAAAATAAAGAAAAAAAATAAAAAAAATAAATGCGTCTTTAGACAAAATGATCACACAATAGTTCATGGCTATTCACTGTTTAATGCACGAAAATAACAATATTTTGTCTCTGTACTAGGCACCAGAAAATGTAAACACATTATAGAAATAAACCTGGATGACACAGTGGGGATGTTTAAATTATTGCACAGCAGAGAGACCCTGTCTGAGAGGATAGAAGCTCTGCTACAGCGGCGGGACTGACGTGTTCGACTGCACGCTTTTTGTTCGGTCAAAACGAGCTGGCTAAAATGACAATTCCTTCCACGAGCCCTTTTCTATTGACCCCAACCCCCTATTTCCCGTTAGCTATCGCAGCTGTACAGTCGTCCAGGTTTATTTGTCTTTCACTCACTGTGCTTCTCTGTAACGCACACATTAAAACATCACAGTAAAGATGGAGTTTGTCATGGGGCTACACAGATGCGGTGGGATGAGAAGCCAGAGAGAGGGGGCGAGGGGTTTGTCTATCTCATGATTACATTACATTACATGTGTCTATACAATATCTGCTACAGGGTTCTGGGACATGGGGCTACAGAAGATAGGAAAAGGAAGGGGATGTCACAAATATGATAGCCATACCTCTGTCTTTTAAATACTATGACTCACTATTTGGTAAAGATATATTAGAAGCCTATATAATTGGTCCAGCAGCTTTCTTGTAGCTGATATGTGATTTGAAACCCCACCCCCCCCACAAAAAAAAAAAAATATATATATATATATATATATATATATATATATATAGAAGAAAAGAAATTGCAAATAAGACGGTCAAAGCTGCCAGTCTCTTACACGCCAAACTCGCTCACTTGATCAATACACAGAGGGGAGGTTGAATCAATGCTCTCCAGAGTAGTAATAGTTGGAAAGAGAAAGGGGGGGGAAAAAATGACAGTTCATGAATAAAACTCGGTGCGAGTGGTGGTGGAGGAGGACAGGAGAGATGGAGGGATGTGGTGCCCCTTGTCCTCCATCGTCCCTCATTCATTTACTTCCAGAGCTGGGTGCTGAGGGTCTGACCAGATGGGGGTGCCACCCAGCCGCCCATGGGGGCACCAGGTGGCCCAAATGGCATTGGAGCACCGGAACCATTCAGGTTCATTCCAGACATCTGTTGGTTAATCTGAAAAAGACAAAGCAGAAACAGAGAAGGGTGGTACATCAATAGATACCAGAATTGTTATAATAATTTGCGCTGGTCCAAAACCTACAGAGGATTTTAAGGCATCATGGACGACAGAAAAACCAACAGAAAAAGGTGTCTCCTAAAAATACCTAATTTCAGCTAAATTCTTTGCCAATATTACATGTGCCCTTTGCGGTAAAGGCAAGAATGCACTGAAATGAGTTCAAACTAAACTTTTTTGCTCACCAAGGCTGCATTTATTTGATCAAAAATACAGTAAAAACTGTAATATTGTGAAATATTCAGTGTCGCATGATTTTTCAGAAATCATTCATCTGGGGCTCAAGAAACATTTCTTATTATCATCAATGCTGAAAACAGTTATGCTACCTAATATTTTTACGAAAGATTCTTTGATAAATTTCAATTTCAAATTGGTCTCTTACAAGATTGCATGTTAAGATGCGTCTATGAAGGTTACTCGATTTTGAAACAGAGTTTTGTTATTAAAAGAGAAATAATTGTTGGTTTTTTACACAATCAGATCAGATATAAGATCAGTAATTTCACCTGAGGATTCACACCAGTTACATTTTCCTCTTTTCTTTTTAACAGGTTACTAAGCTGTCCTCTTATAAACTCAATCACCCCTCTTATTACTCTTCGTCTACTTCTCACTCTTTCATTTTCTATACCTCTACCCTTTTCCCTTAACTTCCACCAGTATTCTTCCTGACTGGCCCTGTGGGGCAGCCCATCAGACACGTCTGTTTGATTTATACTCCTGTCTCTACAGCTTCTAGCCAGCAGAGAGAGGAAAAAGTAATGGTTTCAAATAAGCAGTCTCCTATTTTTCATTATTAACATGATTTCTGGGAACTAAACTTTGTGCAGTCTTTATCCAGCTGTCAAAATGGATATATAATAGAAAACAGGATTCTTCTTTCTTCGCAATAAGAGTTTGCTGTACTACGTTGACAATGGATGTACAAAAACGACATGATCCACCAGTCACGCTGGTTGTCTGGCAAAAGCTAAAATAAATTACAATCTTTTATTACTCAACACTAATCTCTTCACAGAGAACTGTGGATGATACCAGGAACACAGCTCACAGTCACAGCACATGATCAGTGCAACAAGTCCGACAGTAATTGTCTTGAAATATGTCGGTGAATGCGCATCCATCTTTGTAATGTAGGCTACAAAATCTGCTTCAAAATCCCAGCGCTGTCATCATCGTGTAAAGCCCGCCCCAACGTTTCTGATTGGTGCCTCGATTTCGACGGATTGGAAATGGGCTTGAATGAGCTCTTTGCCGGACTATCTTTCAGAGCAAATCTAAATATCTCACCGAACCTATATGTTTGAATGGTAGTAGATTAAAGGGAATACATATTGATTTGGTACAAAAAGGCCAAAAATAAACAAAAATAGAAGCACTTGCCTTTTCCCATACTATCTTGAAATACAGACATAATTCATCGGTCTCCTATTCATGTTTAATTCCAAAGCACTAAACCCCTTCCTGAGGCGGTGAGGGAGGTTATCCATCACCGTGAACTCCTGGAGTGCTCTGATGTCTCACAAGGTGACTAAACCTCTTTAGGCCATGAAGTGCATCCAGCCTCTCACGGAGACTTCAGATGCCCCAATGCCTGTGATGAGAAGACCAACGCCTGTGAAGAGACGACTCAACGCCGGCCATATGTTATGCCCTTAATATTACATGATTAACTAAATGTATTTTTTCCATGTACTTTTCTGAAATGCACTTACTGTAAAGCTGCTTTGAAACAATATGCATGTTAGCCAGAGGAGAACTGGCCCCCGACTGAGCCTGGGTTCTCCCAAGGTTTTTTTCTCCATCCAATCACCTGATGGAGTTTTGGTTCCTTGCCACTGTTGCCTTGGCTTTTGGCTTGCTTAGTTGGGCACATTTAATATTCAACAATATTATTGATCTGTGTTGTATTACTTTCATGTTATCACTGCAAAGCTGCTTTGATAGAATCTGTATTGTAAAAAGCGCTATATAAATAACTGTGACTTGACTTGACTTGTATGACTAGAGTAAGATAGAGGGAAACATGTTTTTTAAAAAAACATTTCCAAAATACTCAGGAGGACCCACTGTGGACCTAGACTTCATTTAACAGGAAAAATGTGGCCAATCTCATAATTAAACCTGCTTCCTCCGCAACACAATACTGCATACACACAGAGAAATAAGTGTGCCATTAGAGTGCGTGTTTGTAAATACTCCAAGAGCCGTATTAAAGGGAGTGAATATCAAGTACTAATGATTCTTCTCCTCCCTGTGCACTGGCTCTCCTCAGAAAAGGAGGAGTTGCTCTGTGTGCTGGGTAACAAAGAAAAACATTTCAAGACAGATCCATCTCAGAAAAAAAAAACACTCCTCCTAGGAACAGTGCGGCAAAATTACCCTCACTCCAAAAAACCATTAAGCAGACGCATTTCTTTCCTCAGCCGGTCTCTCAAAATACAAATGTGCTGCTGAAGGCCTATAACTCAGGACGCACACACTTGCATTGTGGGGAGGGATTTTAATTAAGGCCGTGTGAGTGCAAGGCACACTATATTGATTTATGATGTGTAATTAACCTCCCGGAGGCTGAAATCTCGGACTCCCTTCGCTCACAGCCTCATACACAGGGGGTCATGGGCCACGGGAGGCAGGGAGATGATAGAAGATGAGAGGTCGGAGTCACTGAGCCCTTGTCTTTAATAAGGCCATATGCAGATGGGAGGTGACAACAGATTAGATAGATTTTCAAAAACCCTTATGATGAATCTCTGATTATACGTTGAGTGTGACCGAGAGAGACTGAATGTGACAACTCGCTTTTCACCTAAAATGGCTTTGAAAATGTGAAAAATCTGATCTGAATAAAAAGGAAAGCTCTGTGGTTACCGGGAGATGCATTGTGGGAATCGAATATGATGAATGGTAATAGCTTCAGATTTAGATGTTCTCTCTATAAAAAGCAGATACTGATCCACTGCAGCCATTGCGTCATATCAATGACTCATGGCAGATTCTGAGAAGACTGGTAAAAAAATACAACCCCAGAAGAACATTATGAACTCACCTCTTGAAGCTCTTGACCTCCGGCATGCGAGTACATAACAGTATTTAATGATCACGTTTCTCAGGTCCCCTGTTTTTCACTAACAACAATTTTTTTTTGGTTCTGTTCATCTCAAATTTCCACTGTGAACTCATTGTTTACATATGAAATGAGATCTGGCTATATAATGAAATGCAGAAAAAGGATCAGGGCGTTTCTCAGATCTCAGATGAGCCCGTGAATGCCAAGTCGCAGAGACTCAGCATTCATGCATTTCATAATGTCGGGTAAAGGATTTTCCTCTTTGTTCTAGAACATTTGATGGTTTGCATTGATAATCTTTCAATTGATTATGAAATTGCAATAATACATTTACCTGACATAATAAATTGTTGATTATTCTAACAGACTTTAACTTAAAGGAATAGTCAAACATTCATGTAGATTTAAAGGATTAGTTCACTTTTCAAAAAACTTTTGCTGATAATTTACTCACCCCCATGTCATCCAAGATGTCCATGTCTTTCTTTCCTCAGTCGAAAAGAAATTTAGGTTTTTGATGAAAACATTCCAGGATTTTTCTCCATATAATGGACTTCAATGGGAACCGGATGGTTCAAGGTCCAAAAGATAGTGTTAATAAAAGTTTCAGATGCAGCTTCAAATGTCTTTAAATGACACCAGACGATGAATAAGGGTCTTATCATGCGAAACGATCGGTTATTTCAAAGCTTATTCCAAAAATGTAACTTTTCTAAGGACAAATGCTAGCCTTGCTATATTCTCTGAGGCGCGTTTGTAACGTCACGTAATACGTAATTACGTTCAAAAGGTCACGGGCGGCGTAGCCGGAAGTACAGAATAGAATTTTCAGACATCGTTGTTTTTCCTTTTAATTCCTTTTTTTGTAAACGGTGTTTGAGTTAGTTTGCACGTTCAACCTATGCGTTCAACTTGTAAACACTGACTCTGTACTTTCGGCTACGTCGCCCGTGACCTTTTGAACGTAATTACGTAATACGTGACGTTGCAAACGCGCCTCACAGAATAGAGCAAGGCTAGCATTTGTCCTTAGAAAAGTTACATTGTTGGAATAAGTTTTGAAATAACCGATCGTTTCGCATGATAAGACCCTTATTCATCGTCTGATATCGTTTAAAGACATTTGAAGCTGCATCTGAAACAGTTATTAACTGTCTTTTGGACCTTGAACCATCCGGTTCCCATTGAAGTCCATTATATGGAGAAAAATCCTGGAATGTTTTCATCAAAAACCTAAATTTCTTTTCGACTGAGGAAAGAAAGACATGGACATCTTGGATGACATGGGGGTGAGTAAATTATCAGCAAAAGTTTTTTCAAAAGTGAACTAATCCTTTAATGATGCACAAATATCATTGAAAAACTTTTTAATACATAAGTTAAAATGTATTGCATTTAATTAAAAATCCCTTTGCCACGGGAAAA